GTCTGAGCCGGCATGTCATTCATTTTATTGTCTCTCATCATTGTATGAGGTAGGCATTAGCGTGAAGGATCTTGCCCAAGGACCCACACTGGATGGTGTTATGTGCTCATTTTTGCCCCAAGCGGGATTCGAACCTGAGTAGGCAGCCGTCGGCAAGTGCTCTTCAAGAGCCTTGTGTTTTTTGTTGTTTTTGTCACATGGTGTTGTTGTTACATCGTGTGGACCTGATGTGGACTGTTTTCAGCATTTTTGGCCACAACATTCGTCAAAGAAGAATCTGTGCTTGCGCCTTCTCGGCGGCACGCGTGAACCCGCACTGAATTTGATCGGGAGGAATGTTGCCGCCATTTGACTGTCGCTGCTGGACAGTGCCGGGGCGCTTGTGTCTTGCGCCTGAAGTAGGCAGCATTTTCACAGCTCCGCTTTGTTCAGCGGAAAGGTCGGTGCTGATGGATGGCGGCTGGATGGATGCATGGCTTGAGGAGCCGACGACGAGAAGGAGTTTCAGTGTGGAGCGCCGATGCGGATGTGGAACTGGGAGTCATGGCTTGGAATTGTAGCGGCATGGGACAGGAGAAGAGAGCCAACCTCTTTTTCGTTAATGGATGCTACAGCTTCTTGTTGCTTTCAAGCTTAGCTTGTAGCAGACGTGTGCCCATTGCGGCATGACGTCTTTGATCCACTGGTGAAAAGGACACTTTGATTCGCTCCTCTTTCATCTATAAATGCCTCAGACAACAAAGTGTATGCGGGAAAGTGGTTAAGATTGCACGATTTTCTGTGTCTCATGTGTTGTATTATTTTGTCATTTTATGTTAACTCTTCTTTTGGTGGCGGCGCGGGCACCCGCAGCGGCTCCTCTTGTTGTACGTTGTGAGAGGGAAGAAATTTCATCTGTGCAGCACATTTGACAATAAAGTTGTACTTGACTTGATACTTGATATATACATATACACACACACACACACACACACACACACACACAGGCCATATAAACATACAGGTATATTTCTGAATGACTTAGCCAGCCTTATATTCAAATATGCTCCTGAAGTGTGTTGTGTACAAAAGATGCCTACTGCAAATCATATTGGTCTCTTTTACGTCATAAAAATAGCGTTAATAATTCCTTAAAATTACATTACAATGAGCAGCAAGTTCCGTAAAAAAAAATAAATCAGAGTTGTCAAAAAAAAAAAAAATTCCACATCCTGTCACTGAATTGTATCCAGTTAGTTTACCTTTGAAACAGTTGACAGAGAAAAGGTTTGGATGCAGCATTGTTGGTAGCAATAGTAAGGCAATTTGAGACCTGGGTTGGACTTTATTTTCATGTATATATATACAAGAAAAAAAGGTATAGGACAAAAATACAAATCTCAGTTTGAAGCATATGTGCGACCCATCTCGCCTACCACATCGTTCCTTATTTGTAGCCTATATGCAATCGATATGCAATGTTACTGCCCGTCAGACTCGGACAAGGACACCAATGATCTGGAGGAAAGTCTGCATGATACGGACTGCTGCTGAGGCTGATTGTGCTCAACATCACAGTGCTCTATGAGTGAGGGGGGAGGCAGCAGGTGACCATGCCCGGTTGCAGCTCTGGGGGGATCCAGAGGCGGAAAGAAATACCTGAAGTCACAACAAATGACAAGAGACAAAAACAAGAATGGAAAATGGACAAACAGAATTTAAGTAGAAAATGGCATTAAAAGAAAATGAAGTCACATACTGTATAAGAATTACTGAAGTTATGGTATTGAGCAGTGGTTCTTAACCTGGGTTCAACCGAACCCTAGGGGTTCGGTGAAGCGGTCTCAGAAGTTTGACGAAGCCTCTGCCAACCCGACTAAACATGTCAATTAGTTATGACACGCCCACTTGGCCATCACTGGCTGGTTCATTATGTGCACAATTTAATAAACGTATATTTATGTCTTGAAATTGTATTTTTTTTTATTCTGTTTTTAATAAATGCATTTTTTAATGTCTTGAATTTGTTCCCCCCCCAAAAAAATCATATTTTTATTTTTCACTCATGAAGGGTTCGGTGAATGTGCATATGAAGTGGTTAGGTTCGGTACCTTGAACAAGGTTAAGTACCACTGGTATAGAGATATACACTGCAGTATTTGTCATGTCCTTTGAGACACAATAAGTACAAAATTAGACACCCAGACACAAAACATTCATGCAGGATGCGTAATGACACAAATAATATCACGGAAGAGAGGTTAGTAATATGCAAGATGCTGCAGCTCTTAGAAGGAAAGGCCTCTTTTCAATCTGCCATACAACACACAGTATAATCTATTGTCAGCAGTTAGAAAATGAGCTGAAAATATGTTCATATTTTAAAAATGCTTGCAAATTTAAGCACGTCTTGTTAGAATTTATATATTTAAAGAACATTTAATGAAAATACAAACATACAAGATAAGGACAAAGGCACCGGTTATTGATGCGCCAGGTTTGCGAGAGTGAACTTTAGATACATTGAAATATGTTGGGTGTGATCCAAAGACCATATCATGAGATGATACATCTAATCTGGACATTCATGACATTATCTATATTTTAAAACAAAGTAACAACAAGAGTTTGTTTTCATATGAAATTCATTGACACAAATGTATTTTCTGCTGCGAGTACAGAAGGTGGTGGTAAGGTATGCGGTCAAGATGTCAGCAGTTACAATTTAAATGTTGAGCTATATCAAGCACAAATGTATTTTAGCATTCCAGTGCAACCTCGAAAAACATAATTTCTTCTTGTGAAGTGTTTGAAGTCTGATTTGCTCAGCCTCCGAAACACTTTTTCATAGCAAATCATGTAAAAAAGGCTCCAAACACAACAAATTCGTATTTATGTAAAAACACGTACAATACCAAAAAAAAAAAAAAAAAAAAGTACAATTTTTTTGACTTAGCCATATGATACTGGTTAGCAAGATCTGTAACACGCACACCATTTTCATACTTAGCAATTAAACCTTCCTCAAAACCACTGTGTTTTGGCACCACTTTCCTTTTTTCTTTGCTGCTGTCCTGCCTTCAGCCCAAGGCTAAGAAAATTGTACAGGAAAAAATTTAAAAACATTATCTTTAGAACCACTCGCAAATGTTCGGGTGTTCGAGCTCCAAGAATTTGGTCGAACTTGGAGGAATTTTTTAATTCTCGATTTTTCAGTTCAATTCAGATTTGTCGGAGTCGCGAGTCAATCGAATTACAAGGTTGCACTGTACAAATTTTGAAAGGTTGGGACAATGGCTAATCAAACATATTAATCATCGAATCAATTTGGATGTTTGCCTATGACACACTACTTCATAAACATTTTTTTTGTATTTGAAATAAGAGGCACAACTTATATGAACAGGTTTATTCAGTTGACATTGCATGGTGGTTAGCCCCGGTACACTGCAAAATCGAAGCATGGGATTATTAACAAGCATCAGTACAAAACAAAAAATACTTATGTCAAAACACAAACAAAAAGATGTAACACCTGTTTGCACAGGTTGAATGGCAACAACCTGTATGCTGGAAAGCCACAAAAGCCAAGCTCTTTGCATGAGTGCAGTTTGGCTCCAGGAGTTTGGTCAGTGGGAGGTCAGAGTCCCAGACAGTGTGAGGCATATCGAGTTGTCAGTTGGGACTGGCTCAGGTTGGGATGGGTGAGTGGTGTCAGGCAAGCCACACCACCTACCTTCCTGCGGAAATTCCATTTAGTGCATTCTGGGAGGCCTGAGCAGAGGAGCCCACCACAGTTCTCATGACTGTGGGCTGACCAGATGAACCAGTTAGCGGGCTGCCGTCTCCCTTCAGGATGCCTGTGCACTTCCAGTTGTCCATGTAGTTGGCTGTGGAAGAATATGAACAGTGGTAAGGCAGTGTCCAGTAATCACCTTTTCCAAAGCTAAAGCATTGTTCAGTCTAGCCTTCTCGCACCTCCTACTGGATCCGTATTCCAAACATTCACCAACAATGGACATAATCTGCCAGCAGCCTAGAACACTGTCAAAAATCTCAATGCAAACTGTCCAACCGTGTCAGCAATAAGTGCTAAATTCTCAAATGTTCGAAAGTTGTCAACACGGGGACATCTGTTGCATGTTGCGCATGTATGGATCCAATATACTAATTGCCCAGTGAAATATTGTAGCTCTGGTAGAGAAGTAAAACCATGCCGCGTTGCAAAGATCTATCACAGGTCGGTGCGGTAAGGAAAGTCATCCTCTGCATAGGCCATGATGCAGAGTAACCAGGGTTCGAAGTGCCTCATTTGCAAGAGACAGGCCCACACGCTCATAACACGCCACTTTCCAAAATAAGTGCAATGTGTGGTAAAATACTGGATCAATGGGTTATTTTTTACAAAAGGATGTCACCGACATTATCCTCAAACAAAGGTTGAAAAAGTATATTGATAAACTGTGATAAAATTATCAGTGTCAAATCTTAATTGGAAGCATTACAGAAAGAGCACTATGGCTGCATTCACTGCAGGCCATGATGTGACTAATAATGTGACCAGAAGTCCATCTGGTGACATGCATGCACACAAAACATGAGGTTGAGTGACAATGCATGCGGATAAAACAATTACACATGGCGCTGCATGTCGGTCTCAGTCGCATTTGTGGCAACTCCAAGGAGTTTGTGCTTGAGCTCAGCGGTTCTCCAATATATTTATCAGTGTAAAGCATTTTTTTGCTGCTGACATTTTTCTGCTCATTGCTTTCTACACCATATGGCCTGTGGAACAATTGTGACATTTGTCGTCTTTTCATGACGTGTGGGTCAAGTATATACACAGAACATTATCCAGCTTCAAGGCAGAGCAAATTTGAGATTACCAAATTATGACTACAGTATTTTGTTTCCTGGCTTGTGTTAAATAAACACATAATAGATCCGATAACGATACATTTTCCTTTTTTTCAATTTCCAATTTTTAAATGGAAAAACAGGAGATGACTCATTCAACAGACAGTTTGTTTGAAATTTTGTTTGAGTGTTTATATTTACCATTTCTAATTCCCCAAATTATGTAGGGTTGCTGTTTATATATATATATATATATATATATATATATATATATATATATATTTTAAATTAATACGGAACAATCATTTCCTAAATTTTTAATTAAATCAAATTGAGACTATGAATGGTATCTTTTTTTTTTTTAAAAATTTTACGGACCTTTCCATAGACGCACGCAGCCATCATCCCCAGAAGAGGCCAGCAAGGTGCTGGTGATGTTCCAGCTCACACGCCACACTTGGGAGTTGTGGTTATCAAACTGGGCGACAATCTGCACCTCAAACTTGGTGGGTCCTGTCGAGGTGCTCTCCTTCCTAGATGAAGATGCACAACAATTAAGTGCCCAGTGCAATGTTGCAATGCATATCTGTGACTCACACATAAACACGTCAACTTTAAAAGACAAACAAAAACACAGAATAAGTCACCTTAAAGGGACAAGCTTAAAGATTCGGACATCTTTTGTTGCAATGGCGAGGACATGGAAAGATCGTCCCAGGTTTGGAGCAAATGCAGTGTCATGAACTGCATCTGTGATGGTCGCCAGAGTCTCAGCTTTGGCATATTTTCTTTTCCACATTGTAAAGAACAAAATGTTACATTAGTTAAGTTCGGAGTTAATCAATTGATTATGCTGGAAACGGTGTGACAAATATCAGAGAAAGAGAGAAACCTTACCTTGTGTTTTCATTGTACTCATAGATCTGGACTTTGCCACCATACGTCACGTTGCCGTCGTCACTCCCCACTGCAAACATTGGTGGGTGGGCGCGGGAGCTGGTTGGGAGTGAAGATATACACGATTTAACTTGATGTATTAGAACAGAGCCACGATTAAAAAGCTCCAAAGTCAGTTCAATTTTGTCTTAACAGATGCAGTCATGTTTGACATTGCTTTATTGGTCTGACAAAAGTAGGAGAACAGTGGGGACAGTTGTCCTGTGTGTAACCCGAATAAAAAGACGCATCATGTTGCATATGTAGACCATCCATACTTGAAAAAATTTGCTTGACTATATTGCTCAAAGATGCACTTGCATACTACTTGAACAGGCTGACCCCTGTACATTTTTCTGCTCTGGCTCCCGGGGAAGGCGGACACTTTTTGGAGGAGGGCAGAGTCTTCCTTATTGTTCAATGCCGACGAACGGATTGAAGGGCGACGTAGGACATGTCACGCTATGTGGCGAGAAGAATTTTGCGTGCCAGACCTTAGTCATCGTGGTCATGACCAATCTTTGAGTAAGTCACACTACACGGGGTGACACGTCAAGACAACTCAAGATCGGCTACAAGGCACTACGTTTGTCTGCAACACGTCTGTCAGCTCAAAATCGGACGACATTCGTGTAGTCAGACGTCGGAATTACACCGAGTCGCATTCCCAAATTATTTGACTCCCACTCAGATTGGGATCAGAGACAGACAACCCTGAAAAGGCATCAACAATAAAGATACAAAACCTTTCCAGCCAATTACCGACACACAATACCTTTAGCTTTCAACAATACATTGCTCTGACCTGGACGGGTTCCAAGAAATGCAGCTGCAGCTGAGTTTGCAAGAGATTTCATGCTGCAGGGACCACTGACTCAGGTTCATGACGTCTGGAGCCTCATAGATCCTCACAACTCCGTCCGCTGAACACGTGGTCAGCATTAGGCCCATGTGTTTAGGAGCAAATTTCACATCGGTCACTGATGTTCTACTGTCCACAAGTGTGGTTCTTTTTATCTAAGAGAAATGAATGGGAGAAAGTTTAGTCTTGCAACATACAGATTATATCAGAAAACTGTCAAACTAAAACAATTGTTGAAATTATTACTTGCATATCAATAAATGTTGCCACTTTGCTTTCTATTTTTTTCAGTCATTCAAAAGGATTGTCCAGTAAATAGAGGCATATTTATCATTTAATGGCAAGGACAATTTTTCATGTTTTTTAAAGTATCCAGGTATTCAATCCCAGGTACATCTTTATGTATTGTTACAAATTATATCACGTGGTAGGGTAAGAAGGGTCTGAAAATGGCTGGCACTGAATGAGTTTTAAATAAAAGTACAGAAGGTGTACTGTACTTAATGCTCATGCGTATGTATACAGAGCTACGTACTATCTGTATATAAATCTATATATAGGCGGCACGGTGATCAACTGGTTATCACGTCTGCCTCAGAGGGAGGGAGGGTTGGATAGATAGATAGATAGAGTGTGTGTGTGAGTGTGTGTTAAAACAAAATGGTGTTTGCTTGAAATGTATATCCCAACTGCCAATGTGCGACACCTGGCGCCAAAATTTTATGATGTATTCGACCATGGTTGGTGAACCATGAATCCAAGAACAAAGGTTTCTGAAGAAAACAGAACATTTAATGCTACATGATGAACTATGTTCAAAACAAACAATGCTTCCGCCCACTGATAACACCTTATGATTGTGTATAGCGGGGTTGTCAAACTCATTTTTGTCGCGGGCCACATCGAAGTTACCATTTTCCTTGGGGGGACGTTCTGACTGTGAAAGCATTTAAAGAAGTCAAGAATAATGGTTGATTCAACGATTGTTTAAGTTACTGTAATGAACACAGAACCAGGTGGCATTTTTGGTTTTCTAGAGGTGGATAATCTTAGTTTGGCTTTAATTTCAGGAATTTGAGGAGGAAATTAACAGTGATTATTATATTTAAATGGAAGCTTCAACCAAGCCTAATTTTCCCAGAGTTATTTTTTTTCTTTTCAAAAATTAAAAAATACTGTTTTCTCCATAACACTTCATTCATTTCATAAGTGCAACACACCATGCAAGCTTTTTTTATACACACATAAATAAAACTATATATGCCATGTAGTCGTCATTTTAGATGTCAAAAGGTTTTTGTAACATGACTTGCTTGTTTGTCAGCATGACTTAGATTTGTTCTTGGTTTTGCTGTTCGGTGCTTTCTACCGTCTTTATTACCGATTTGCTTTACTGTTTGTTGTATATGTTGAATTGCTCCATGTACAGCACTTTGTATGCAGCGATGGCTGTTTGAAAGTGCTCTATAAATACAGTTGAGTTGAGTTGTTTGACAAGAAACTCTATGACAGATGGACAACTGTTAATCCAAGCCTATATGGAATTATTTGCAACTGTGAATTTCTCAAGTAAATGTTAGGTTTCCCTTCAGGGATGTCATGTGTAACTCATGCAAGAGTCAAACAATATTCTGGTGTGGCACTGACCCAATGGCTCTGTCCTCTCTGTTTGTCATTTGACTCTCCTACTATCTCCTCCCAGACAGCCGCTGTCCTGTCAAAGGAGCATGAAGCAAGAACTTGTCCAAATTCTGGATGAGCCCAGGTCACTCTCCACACGGATCCACTATGCGTCTGTGAGCACGGAGAAGAACTTGTCAAGTGTATCCCCAATCGAAATACATTGATCCATAAAAAAGAGAGTGCAGAAAATAAGAAGTGCTTCGGTGTGCACATTTCATGCGACTTTCTGTAGAAATACAAATTTTCTATTTTGGAATACGAACAACTCACAGCCGGTTCATACCTTCCAGCTGGCAGTACAGTGCCATTCTCCGTTCTCACTCTTGTCCCACACCTGGGAAAAAAAGATTGTCACCGAGTTAAGACAATCAATGCCTCTTTTCCCAGCACTGTAATATCTAACACGTCTGTATGGGGGGTTATATTGAAGTGTTTACAATTGATCATAGATTCGTAAATCACTGTCGGTCATATAGTACTATATGGTGTCTGGAAACCTATTACCTATGTGCTAGTTTTATAGATGTTGTATTATTGTTATTTTAAATACAATGTTCTCAAAAGCGATTTGGGACATCTGCAGCTGTTGTGACAGCGCTATATAAATAAAGTTGCATTGTATTGTGTGTCGTAAGTTACTTGTGGTCGGACTACTCTTCCGTTACAACGTGTGCAGCATAACCTAGCATGCATGCTATTTTGGCCAAACTATTTCCGATGAAGCCACATTATTCGAAAACGCCACAACTCGCAGACAATAAATGCCTTGCCCACGTCTGTCGAAAAATTAGCAAATGCAACTGAGTAAACTCAACAGTACGCGCAACGTGTTGGGAAAGTGGCTACAGTCAAGTAAGGCTACTAAGGCTAACTCGAGTTAACTTACTTTGACACTTTGGTCACTGGAACAAGTCGCCATTCTCCGACCATGAAAATCATACGACACATCATGAATCAGATCTTTATGATCTGCTGCAATGCTGCGTGCAACAAACATGTTTGCAAATGCAGCTACACGAAACTCACAACACACTCCTCAAGCTAACAAGACTGTCATGACGTGATGTACAGTATTTGTTGGCGGGCCGTTGCCGCCAATAACTTCACCGCATGTGATTACTACATGTGACCACAGTGGGGCGCATTAAGACAATTAGACAAATGCTACCCCTGTGCTACCGTGGTTGCATGACACCACTTTTATGCCACTTTATAATGTTTGACCTGGCCATAAAGTCAAGGTAGGAAGATAGGAAAAGTGACGTAAATTTGACGATTCTATTCTTTTTCTCCCCCCGGTTTTTTTTCCTTCTTCTTCTTCTTCTTCTTCTTTGTCTTCTTCATCATCATCATCATCTTCTTCTTCTTCTTCTTCTTCTTCTTCTTCTTCTTCTTCTTCTTCTTCTTCTTCTTCTTCTTCTTCTTCTTCTTCTTCTTCTTCTTCTTCGAGGGCTGTTTGCAAACCGGAATAGTGCATTACCGCCCCCATTGAGCTGCAATGAATCCTGTTTTGGCTGAACTATTACTTTTTAAATCTTTTATCAAATTCTCTTGTCCTAAAAAAATAAATAGAAATTAAAATAAATATCTCTAATGCTTTTTATCTTTGTTGGTACTATGAAATTCTTGTTTGTATGTTTGGTTAAATTTCATTTATTTAATATACCTTACCTATCTATAAATTGCTCCGTTTTACAAACCGAATTCAAATGAAGTCGAGACATTATGTTAAAGATAAATTAAAAGACGATACAATGATGTGCAAATCATCATACACAACATATATTGAATTGATACACTACATAGACAAGACATTTAATGTTCAAACTGATAAATATTACTGTTTTTAGCAAATTTTATGGCTGTAACACGTTCCAAAAAAGCTGAGACAGGGGCATGTTTATTACTGTGTTAATCACATCACCTTTTCTTTTAACGACATTCAATAAACGTTTCGGAACTAAGTACACTAACTTTTGAAGCTTTGTTGGTGGAATTCTTTCTAGCTTCAGTTGTTCAGCAGTCCTGGGTCTCCGTTGCCATGTTTTACGCTCCATAATGCACCATAAATTTTCATTGGGACACAGGTCTAGACTGCAGGCAATCCAGTCTTGTACTGGTACTCTTTTTCTACGAAGTCATGCTGTTGGAACACATGTAGAATGTGGTTTGACGTTGTCTTGATGAAATAAGCCATGAAAAAAACTTTTGAACTTATGTTGTTTTCCTCTTTGGCCCAGAGGACACGACATCCACAATTTCCCAAAACAATTGAAATGTGGACTTGTCAGACCATAGCACGCTGCTCCAATTTGCATCCGTCCATCTTTGATGAGCGCGGACTCAGAGAAGCCGGTGACATTTTTACTACACTGCAGTGTAAAAGGTACAATTGATCACTTCCTTAAAATCGGAATGTTTACCACACAATCATGATCATAAATTGATTGATTAATATACGATTAAAAGAAAAACATTAAAGATTAAACATGAAAAGAAAAGATCGACTTATTTTACTTCGCTATATTTCTTCATGTATTTGTTAATTCTTTCTTAAATTTGCTTCTCACCCTATTTTTGTACTTCATAACACATGCATAACGTTCAAATAGCTGAACACCGTCTGCCTCCCCTGCTTCCTCAATCACTCGGTTGCCAGATAGTTTTCCTGGGGAAAAAAAAACAAGTATGATACTTCATGTGTCCATGATTATGATTATTTATTTCATTCTCTCATTTGTCTAAACGTTTAAAACGAATTTAACGTCAAGAAAACAGTTTGTGTTTCCAATGTAAAGAGGGCGACATGCACAAAGCCTGGAGTCGAGAGGGGAGGGGGAGAGCTGGCAAGCAAACGTCATCAGCTTGTGGTTGTAGTGGAGTAGCAGACAGACAGACAGACAGAGAGACAGGCAAACTGACAGACTCCCCGCAGGGATCCCCACGGTCCCACACCACTGTAAACCGTGTAGATGGCCGCTCGAGGGGAGTAACTTGGTGAAGGCTGCCGCAAACATCATTTAGTTATCCAGAAAGTGTCCGAGGCGCTATTTAACTTTACAATGGAGCAAGAATTTGAAGACATTGATTTCTCCGGGGGATGGCAAAACATTTACAACGTAAGTTTGTCGGCATTTACTGGGCCTCTGGTGTTTTGATGACGCGCGTTTGCTAATTAAACTACTACGCTAATTTTATTGCAAACACATTTTTTTTAAACTTCAGATGTCTTTCCAAGCGAGCCGTCTAATGTCAATCACGTGGCTATTTAATCTATTTTTGTGAATGAGGCTTATTTAACCCACCCACTTTTCTTGAAAGACTAAGGAGAAGTAGCTTTCTGTGCTAGTAGTCCTCGACTTCCGTAGCCAGAAAACGTGCAAATGCTGTGTTCTAAGTTGAGCTCAGTTAGCTAATGCCATTTGACCGCAGCAGCGGTACACGCTCGCGTCAGTTTCTGAGAAGTCGTCATCAACGGGACTTCCAAAGAAGGCACGTGTTGTACCGCCATCTCCAAGGGAGCCGTGCGTTCACATTATCACACTTAAGTTCCGGTTTAACCCAAGCTGTGACCATGTCAGATAAAAGCTACGTCGGTTTTCCAAAAGCAACACGAACGTAACAACAAAAAGAGCAGCATTGTCAATGAAAACAAACTGTTACTTTTATCGTCGAAAACAGTTGTTTGTTTCATGTTAGTACACTGCACAATCACCGTGCTGAGAGTCTTACGTGTACAATAATATCCTTGAAAGTACTAATTATCTTGATACTGTATTAAATATTTATGATCAGATGTTTTGGCAGTGCAAATCACTGTATTGTAGTGTATTTGTATTTTATGTTTCCCTTTTGTTCATGTTTCACCTTTCCAATTTGCTGCTTTTGGAGTTTGTAAAGTTATTAACTAATTACTGTACTACATATTGTGTACTCAGCCGTAACCACGTTTTTATTTTTTTAATTAACCTGAGCCAGGGCTGGACTGGCCATCTGGTTGACAGGGCAGATGCCCCGTGAGTCGACATCTTTTGGGGCTCCGGTGGTGCTATTTGAACATTATTTTTTCTGCATTTCCCCCAAGAGACCAGGCCATAATTTAGAGGGAGCAACCAATAAATCCATTTACTATATAGTGTAGATAGCAAACTGAACCATTCAACTACGTGGTAGCCAAGAGTAGTCAGGAGTCATGTGTGAATACAAATTTTATAACAACCCGTCTTTAGAATGGAAGGTTTGATTCTTGAAGTCAGTGTCGATTATATCCAGTATTTTCACACCATAGCAAGCAAACATCATGGCCGAGAAGTCATTATTTATCATGGTTTCATGAAATAAAATGCACATATATCCAGAACCTTGCTCAGCACATTCTTAATACAAGCAGGAATAAACCTGAGGTAAAAAGCAGCATCAACAATTCTGAAGAATAAAATGATTTCTGTCATTGTGCTTTCTTGTAGATAGGATTTGAATGAATGTCCCATCAACAGCCTAGCTCTGCCTCTGGTCGTCATGGCAATTAAAGCTTTATTTACCATTAGGCTTGCAATAGTGAGCAGAGTGTACGGTGGGTCGTTTGCATGTGACAAGACCACCTGAGACTGAGTTCCGTGGACTTACAAAGAGGGTGTTAAATGTGTTGAAATGCTTGATGCTTTGAATGTTATCTTAAGACACCTGGAAACTGTCTTAAAATGCAGGAGAAAAAAAATGCCTAGATTTCCTTTAAAACTTAAGTAGCAGCGTTAGCCGTGTTGTTGAATTGAGTTGCTACCAAAACATTTGCCCGGGACTGTATGGTAGATTAGTACTGTATATCATGTGTTTACACTTAATTTCACAGTGCACCTGGATGTGTTCACCTCTCATATTTTGGCATTCTTGCTAAACTTAAATATTTTTGCATACAGATTAGAAATGGCATTATTTACTAATTAGCGACAACACATTGTTCCAAAGTCAGCATATTCTTGTATCTCTGAAGTTTCTATTCAAATTTGCATATCCTGAGAAGTGCCATTGCTATTGTAATCGTCTCTGGCTTGTTTTTGTAAAAGAATTATTTTATAGCACTTAAACAATGGTCACGGAGTGTTTTTGCTGAAGCATGTGAAAACAGCAACGTAGTAAAAGAGTTAAACAATGAAGCGGGATTTATTGCAAAAGACCTGTCAAGCAGGAAAGCAATAACAAGTGAAACAAATGCAGCATGCATTGCGTTAAGATTACTTGCAGAGTTAAACCTTGTAGCTCGTCTAGTGAAAATCGCTTTGTCATCTTGGTGGACGATACTGATTGTATCGATTATGATTGATGACGTGTGTACTAGATTGTGCGGCACATAACAAAAAGTAGTTCTTGTCCAATGAGGGCCATGCTAATTAAAACACCACGTTATAGAGGAGATGACAATTTCCCAACAAGTAATCACTTTTAATGCAAAGCTAACATTCTTTGTCTTATTTTTTCTTTCTACAGGAGATCCGGAACCAAGCCAATGAATATCCCTACAATGTGGCAAAACTGGCTGTGAACCGTAATTTGAATCGCTACAGAGATGTTAGTCCGTGTAAGTCTCCCGAACACACTTGTATGCTGAGATGAGCATGATATGATTGGAAAGGTAATGTTGTGTTGAAATAACATCACCATAAAGAAGAGAGCACCTTTTAGTGCAGTGCAGTGTAGTATCATTTTGAACAAAAACGACAAAGTTGATAAATACTATATATAATTTTCTATATGAACCGACAACAACGAAGGTGGGAAAAGTGTGTGAATTTTTCTTACTGGGCTGCTTTGACATGTTATGAACTTAGATCAGGAATCAGTGTTGAGCTCGGTTCCACAGCTTTGCCATTGTATCAATAAGGCTTTTGAGATTCATTGGAATATGATATTGTTCACCTTTCTTGAAATATTAATCTGCATTGCGGTCAATAATGTCTTTGTGACTCGTCGCTATTCTGTCTCTCCTGACTTTAGATGATCACAGCCGGGTAAAACTTGAAAGTTCTGAAAATGACTACATCAATGCAAGTTTAGTCTCAGTGGAAGAAGCCCGTAGAGCTTACATTCTTTCTCAGGTGAGGTCTGCTACGAGCAAGACGTGTGTTTATCATACTTGATACACTCACATTTTTGACAGCAGCATATTTGGTTATTTAACGAGGCTTATTTGGAGAGGAAAACTGTGGATCGTTTTTTTAATCTCTTTGTGACGACCATGTCTAAATTTATTTTCAATGGTCTTTACAGGGTCCTTTAAGGAACACTTGTGGTCACTTCTGGCTGATGATTTGGGAGCAGTGTTCCAAAGCCGTTATAATGCTGAACAGAATCATTGAAAAGGGATCCGTAAGTACATTTCAACTCAATTGGGGATGAGCGCGTTCATGTTTGTGCCAAACTAAAAGTCATTGCACCATGTTAAAGTCTAATTTTTGTAATGTTACAAAAACTTGGCATTTGAATAGGGGTGTGTGTGTGGACTTTTTATATCTACTACTAATAAATACATTGCTACATGGCCCTTGTATTTATTGCAAATTATATACTCACATTATATACATGGATATTATTGCCACTTTCGTGATCCTATTTATCACTTTTGACACAAATCACTTGACTCATGATTCACCAGTAACAATGGTAATACCTTTGTTGTATGATAACAGTTCTTATTTCTGGATTTAGCAAACTTGATGGCTGCCCAAAATTTCTGCTTGCATAGCACCTGAAAAAAAATGTCACGCTCACACTCACAATTTTTTTTTCATCCCTCTGTAGTCCGGACCAAAGTTTTGAGTCACGTATTCACATTTACGTGCAAGTTGCGTTTCACGCTGGTTACCCAAAAATGGATTGATGTCTTGTGTGGTAAAACTCAAACGTTGCAAACTGTAAAACTGTCAGTGGGGTTGCATCAGCTCATTATTTCATATGACTTCAGAGTGCTTCTGATAACTGGATTTAGTTGGTATATATTTGTGATTTCCATGGTTTTCTTTTTCCTCTGGGTCCATGGAGTAGTCACAAGGTAAACCTAACAGCACCGCACCTCACTTGCAAGAGGGCAGAGACTACTTCTCCAAGTGGAGTTTAGATGTGAGCAGTAACACTCAAGTTTTACATGAAACAAACCTGGAAAGGCTTGAAAAACAGCCCATGAGTGCAACTTTTGATGACTGGATCAGTTGTTATCATAAGTCACCATTCAGCTTCCACGCAGTAAAGAGGTGCAGTCATGACCCAAAACATCCTGCAAAGATTTTGCTCCACCCTCATATCACCAAAACATGAAGCCGTGTTTTGATGATAGCAGCAATCATCTTGGTCATCCTTTCCACTGTATTGTTAGCGATGAGATTTAATTTCGGTGTACGTGCGCTTGCAAACATGTTTTTACGGTTGAGTAAAGATAAACCAAAATGTGATAACGTCACCGAGTTTTGTCTGTTTTTGCAAATGCTAAATACAGTCAAGGAGACAGCAAAGTAATGACTCCTTTGGGAAAAATCTGATTAGTTGTGTTCATTCAGCCTTAAAGCACGCATTCGTTCCAAGGTGCAATCACCACACTCACACAGGATCTATGTAATGCTGTAATACTGATTGATTCACATGTTCTGGCGGGCCATCTTGATGATGGAGTTAATTTTGAACCCTCTAAAAAAAATTGTAATTCCCTTTACAACTTGAAGAGCCTCGATGATTAAAATCAAGGCAGAAAGTGGGAGAGAGAGCTGCAGAAAAAGAGATTTAATGTGCATAACAGTGTGTTAAATATCACAATATAAAGCCGTGTAAAGATGATTTTTACTTCATCATAAAATAAATATTGTATTATCAACAGCCCTGCTTTGTTTTCTGAAGTGCACATATTTTCATGGTTGTATTTTGCCAGGCAGCAGTGCTGTGCTGACTTTAAACTACAGTATCTTTTGGCATTACGTTGTTTGTTTGAAGAAGACAGGCATTGTTTTAAGAAAAGGACTGGTTTGTGTTTCATTCCATCCTTGTTGTGACGATTCTCTGTTGGCCAATTACACTGATTGCTGGATGTGACCCTGCACAACTTTGAACCCTTGACATACAAAAAGCGTACAGTGTGGAGAACAGAACTTGACTGCTTCTTGGAAACCGGGCTTAGGCTATCAAGTTCTAGGTATTGCCGACTGTAACCACCCTGAAAATAAGAATACGGCGGAATTGTACGTGTGGAGGATCGAAGCTCGGCGTCTCGTCTTTGTGGTGATGGATTTGCACGCAAAACATTTCAATAACTCATGACTTGTATTTAATTGAGGATTTTGCATTTTTATAGAGGCAATTGTTCGTGGAAGAGAAATACGGAAAATAAAGTGATCTTTCTGATAATGTTGGGGAAACTCCTAACCACATAAAAGTCATGCTTTGATTTGTTTAAGTCACCCCCAGTGCGTGGCAATTTGATGTGAAGGTTTGTGTCCCCCCTCCATAGCAATGCCTTTAAAACTTCTGGACAGTCCACCTGGAAAAAGCAAAAAAATGCAGAGTTGAAAAGAGTTTTGTCATGGGTAATAGGTAAGATTGTAAATTTGAAACTCGCCACAGAAGAGTGTTGTTAACAATCCTGCCAAATTGGAATGATCAAAAAAGGGCGGGTCTCGATTTTTTTTAAAAAGGGAAGCCAATGTTTCTGCTCTCCCAATGCTGTGGCCGCGTGTGCAGAATTTGCTGAAACCACGCCTTGCTCAGCTGTAAATCAAATACAAGAATATCTCGCATCTCTCTTATGCCTTCAACATCCCTACATGTTTGTGCCGCAAAATTATACATGCTTAAAGTTGCCAGTGGATAGAATATATCCCACCGAGTCATCGCAGGGCTTTCCACACTCTGATGAAAGGCACTAGCCACCAGCTAGCTTGCCAGCTAAAAAGCTTCCCGCATCACCTCCTTCCCTAATGTACATCGGTTGCCGTATGTCACCAAGTTCGTGCTTGTTTTTGTTCTGTGCAAGCCTTTAGTTCACCACGCTCATACTTTTATTTCTACCATTCTTAATAAATTCCTATTTATTTTTCCAGGAAAAGTGTGCGCAGTACTGGCCAACTACGGCGGAACAACAAATGTCCTTCACTGACACCGGTTTTGTTGTCAGGCTACTGTCAGAGGAGGATCATTCCTATTTCACAATCCGTGTGCTAAAATTACAAAACATCAAGGTAAGATCTAGTCTATTTAAAAGGGAGATTCCCATATGTAGTGTGATGGTTTTGGCAGCTGCAGCGTCTAAACTTTCTTTCCCATGAATCGTGTTGTCAAATGAGCCTGTTTGTGCAGAAATCTGTTCACACAACACTCAGATCACTATTAAGGTCCCACATTGTCTGTCACAGACGGGGGAGTGGAGATCGATTTATCACTTTCACTACACCGCCTGGCCGGATTTTGGTGTGCCAGAATCTCCTGCCTCCTTCCTCAACTTCCTTTTCAAGGTTCGGGAGTCTTGTTCACTGGGCACAGAGCACGGGCCCTCAGTTGTGCACTGCAGTGCTGGGATTGGGCGTTCTGGGACCTTTGCCTTGGTGGACACCTGCCTGGTCTTGGTGAGAACAGAGATTGTTTTCAAATTTGGCCAGTGTGAATAGTAACAAGTACTATCATAGGGTTGATATGAGTTGACCGAGAGTCATAAATCCACACTCCAAAAATCAATCTGATCTAATAATAATAACCAGCTGCAGGTGAGATCAGAAAATCCTTGTTGGATTTATAAAATTCATCTTGCCTCGTTATACATTCACAGATACAAGTAAACATACTGTAAAAACAAAAATAAACTATTATGTGGTGTAGGTCTATAATGAAGGCATAGGAATTAAGAAATGTAAAAAAAAAGGGCCTCCAAGACTGTCTGCTACCTTTTCCCTAGTCTGATTAAATATAGTTCCAAGATTTAGATTTTGCTTCATGTGACAAGCAATGCAACCGTGTCAACTGTTTTCCAAAGCATGGATTTGCCCGGTCCTTTTAATCAAATAGGGAAAATGTGTTTTTCCAGATGGATCGGAGGAATAATCCGTCCTCAGTGGACATACAGAAGGTCCTTCTGGACATGAGGGAATACCGCATGGGCCTGATCCAGACTCCTGATCAGCTGCGCTTCTCGTACATGGCCGTCATCGAGGGAGCCAAACTCCTTGGGACCAACAGTTCAGCACAGGTAGCGCTTTGACTGAAGGGGACAGCTGGGTTTATTATTTTAGTCCACTTTAGTAAATGGAATTAAAAGAAAAAAATGGTAGTGAGTTGATCAATTATTGATACTTGCTATTTTTAATATTTTAAATTGAGGAAATTATTAGAGAGAGGCTTTTTACTTAAAGTAGAAATTAAATTCCAACAACAAAAGATTACATTTGTTTAAAAAAAAAAAAAAGAAAAAAGAAAGCAGCGTGCCCTATGACTCTTTTGCTGAATCTAACAAAAGCAAGTGCGTCAATGTCAGGAAATGGCATACATGTCATTTTAGTCAGTGACGTCGTTAGGTTCATGGCTGGTGAAGCACTGGAGCTGATGGCGCGCTCTTGAATGCCCCTGATGACCTTGCATTTTTCATCTGCTGTGTTATGCAATTCGCAAAACAAAACTTCTTCACGCTATTTGGCAAATTAACATTCTGCTCACAAAAATATTGTATACCATTGACCACTCCACATGTGTGGGTCAAATGTTGACCAGTTTTGAAAATGTCATGCTTGCTTCAATGATGCAATGATGATGGTTGAACAAAAATATTGTTTTGGGGGTTGCCTGAAAAGTGATGATTTCATATTTAGCACTGGATTATAAGATAACAAACGGATGCCTTTTATTGCTGGTTTGGACATAAAGTACCGGTAGTTAAAACACAATGCGGAGGAGGAGATGTGATCATCTTTAAAGCATGTGCGGATAGTTGATTTTAAGCTGAAATTTGTATTGTTAAAAATATGCTAAAATCATTCTGTTTTTGTACTTTGCCTGGTATCAGGTCAAGCCAGTGGTGATGTCCAGAGATGATTTGGAGACAGAGCTGCCTCCACCTCTCCCTCCACCGAGACCTCACTTAAACAACAGCAGACCTTGCATGGAGTTCCAGCTCACCTCAAAAGACCACATGCCCTTGCTGGTAGAGAAGCCACAGTACCAAGACCACAGCGAGGCAGAGAGCACTGGACAGTAAGTAAACCATTTTTTTGTCGGTTTTATCTGTCAAAGAAATCTCACTGACTTGAAATGTAATTAAGAGGGGAAAAAATAGAGTAATGCATTGGTAATTTATCCAGTTGAATAGATTATGTTGTTAAAAAACAACGCACAAAAATGAAATGCTGAGATAGTCGAAAAAACCCGGAGACACGGAGGGTTTTGTATGACAGGAAAGGACTTTAAAGTCATGACAAGTTTGTAAACATGGACTCGTCAAAAACATTCAATTTGCGATTGTTTCTTGATAATTGATCGGGATACAGAATGTACTACTACTGTACTTGTGTCCAGGTAAGATTTTTCGGACTATAAGCCGCACTTAAAATGCTTTATGCGCTTTGTAATGTCGTGCGCCCTCTGTATTGATGACTGTCGGCTCTTCAGTTTGTCGTCTTTCAATTCAAATTACTTACTATTATGTTTGTGTGGCATTCTCATCCACACTAATCACTCACTAGCAGGCCATATGTTTTCGTCATACCAGAACTAGGACTACACTCTGCTTCTAAGAATTGTGGGAAACGTGTGCCTAATGCAAGCTATTCCTGGTGGCGGGTTTCAATGTTGCAATATGGGACAATATCATTCCAGTGTTTGAGACCAAGAGGTCGACAGAAAGTTACATCCCTTGCTATTTACTTTAGCAATCATGTTTGCATTCTCATCCGCATCTAATCGCCGGCAGTCTTTATTTTTTTTGCCATAACAGAACTAAAATGACCTCCTGCTTTTGCATCTAAGAATCATGGGAAATATCATCCGACTCACGGCGTAAGCATCTGGTTTGTTGATGACTCATTGCTTCCCTTCCTTGTAGTGTGAAGAAGCGACACCGTGAAGAGAGGATTGCCAGCACCTCACAGAAGGTCCAGCAGATGAAACAGAGACTGAGCGACTCGGAGAGAAAAAAAGAGAAGTGGCAGTACTGGAGACCCATTCTGCTTAACGTCGGTGCTGGTGCTGCATTGGCTTTTGGTCTGCTGGTGTGCTGGATGTACTCCCAGTGAGCAGCTCGCAGTCACTTCGAACTGACTCTTATTTTGCACCAGTACCTGAGATTAGGTACTTCTCAAAGTAGATTTAGAGGGTATTTATTTCTTAAGGTCACAATGCAGGAGTGCTAGATCAAATGACTGTGTATATTTTTAATAGATCTAAACAAAATTAGTTACATCTCAGGATCTTGGTGCCAGCATGAGGATTTCCTTTTTCTTCTTGTCTCTGAATGTACTGTGTCATTTCATGGAAAATATGTATGAAAGGTGCAGTGCAAAAGAAAATTGTTTTTATTATTTTTTTCATTTTTTATTTACAATAATCAGATAGGCGTAACCCATTCTATGTCACAACTTTACATTTAGAAATTCAAAATAACTGTTCAGGAATTTGATACTCGAGCGTTGGGAGTTAGGTCCCACCCCCCCATCACCCGTTGAATTAATGCATTTAGTGTTTCTGAAAGGCACCACTTGTTCTTCCATTCACATTCAGCGGGGCATCCCAAAATTGATTAAGTATATATTTTTAGTCAGCTAGACACTTAAGAGAGCTGCCTTGCTTCTGGTTTCGCTTCAGAAAAAAAATGTTTTATCTTTCAGCATATGAGTGAGTGTTTAGCTTTCATGTCCTTTGTTTGGATCCGACAAATGGTCGGGTCGTTCACCTCGTGGTGCACGTATTGACCCACTGGCTGGGCTCATTTTTGTGTCATTACAAGTTATCCCACTGTTGCATTTTCAAGAAACCAAAGCAAACCTGTTCATTTACTCAAATCAATTTTTGTTCTCCGATTGGTGGAATGTAGACTCTGTCGGATCTGTGACACAACTGACTCCTATTTCTTGTTGCACCTTGGTGTTGCATGTAACCGCATTGGTTTGCAACTAACTGGGACCAAGCTGTATCAGTTGGAAGTGTACAGTGGGTTAAAATTCCTCTGAGCAAATGTTAATGCCTGTTTGATGTTTGAGGATGTGCCTTCATGTGATTTTAAATGGAACAAATGTGTGCGACCAGGTTTACTGCAATCTCAAGATCTTAATTCACGTGAGCTTTTATCCCCCCCCCCCCCCCCCCCCCCCATCACTATTGGGAGCGAGGTGATCCCACTTGGACATATGACTGAGGGTGAAAGGTGGACTCCATTTGTTCACGATACATGCACAGCCCCCGAACCAAAACAAAAATACAGGTGCCCTAGGATTTTGTCATTTCTGTCATAAGCAAGCATTACACAGTCTGATTTGTATGTCTTCACATTGACCAAATAGTTCACTGTGTGGCATTTATCAAATTTTCATTGAACCCATAAACATTTTTATTCATGGCATTCCATTTGTTTTTGCTTTCCAGATTCAATGTTTTCATTTTGGTACCACATCAAGCCACAATGACATTTGTTGTTTGAACAAAACAACATGAAATACTTCTTAATAAAACAATATCCTTTTTTTCCAAAACCTGGCATTGCATCTGTTATTTTTAAGAGATTTTACGGTATTCATGACAGCGTTCAACTTCTCTGCTTAGCATTTGCTGTACTGTTGCCGTAATTTCATTCAGTGCATGAGTTTAATAACTCCTGTCAGACTGGCAATGTTCTCCTCTTGGATTCCAGGAAGGGATTCAGCATTTCTTGAAGTCCTGGCCCGGATTAAGCACCATAGTTTCATATGCTGTTATCTGATGTGCTTGCGGGGGGGACTTTTCCTAGTAAATTGTTCAGGGAAAAAAATATATATCCATACGAAAACTGGCAAAATTCCCAATGGTTATCATGCCTCCTGGCGACAATACAACAAAGAGATCTGGGGGAATTGTTATTTATATAAATAAAAAAAAACAATAATCAATTCACACAAATTAGCTGCACTTTTAATAACATAAGGTGATGTCATTACAGTGTTGCAATTCCACCACATAGATGAAACTGTAAACATTCAGTTTTATAAACGTCCTTGAACCTGTAAGGAATCTGACTTGACAAATTTTTTGCTATTTTATCCTGTTCAATCATAGCAACTACCAAGATTCGAACAAGCCCAGCAAACAATACAAAAAATAAAATGAGAAAAAGGAAAAAAAAAAAAAAAGATTCAAGTCCAAAACAGTTTCATTTTATCCATCCATCCATTTTGCGATCCGCTTTACAAGGGCCGTGGGCCGTGCAGGATCCTGTCACAGCTGTCTTCGGGCAGTAGGTGGGGTACACCCTGAACTGGTTGCCAGCCAATCATCATAAATTACATTTACTTTTAAATATAATATCACATTGAATTAAATTTGAAATGAAAAATGGAGGAAAATGTGAGTAAAGGTAGGAATATCCCTCTTTCTCTCTAGGACATTTGCTGCAGTTTTTGTTGGCCCCAAATCAATCCCGATGTTCATAAACCTGTGATGATCAAAATTTTTGCAAACCCATGATCAGAAACGACAATGACGTCCTTATTACGTCTTCATTAAGAGACGAGCAGTTCTTTGGGTCCAGCTCCGATGACTGTGATAAGTCTATACTTGTGTAAAACACCATCAAACAATATTCATTCCATTAGCTTTTGACTTGCCTTTTGAAACATAACTCCGGTTCCATATGACAGATGGCCGAAACAGCAACCGTCACTACAATTGCAGTCGTCTCCATCCATCCCACAGTGTCATTCTGCTACTTGATTGGCTATTTGCTCCAGGAGATGGCTCTCTGTGGGGATCTGTTCCGTTAAATCAGTGCTGAGCTTCCAAACACCAACTGTTCCATCGGTTTTTCCCACTGCAAGGAGGCCGGGGTTTTGACAGTTGAAGGCCAAACAGGTTGCGGCGTGGCCAACGCCTCCTGGGTCAATCGTGGCTGCTGGTCTCAGGGACCTGCGACTCAGATCGAATATTTGCACCTCACCTGGTGGAAAAAAAGAGTGCCTTAAGAGGACGTAACACAAATGAGTACGCGCTTGGCCAAGTAATCTTTTCATCCTTTTCTCAGCAAACATAAGAAGGAATTTCAGAACGCTGACAATGACTAGACTCACTTCGGGTAAAATTCCTCTGAATTAGAAATTTTGAATGTAAAATTTTGCTCCGCTAAACTCTCAGTGCTGTTTAATGAATTTCTTTAAAAAAATTAAAAAAACAATTTTGAATGTGCAGATTTTAAAAAATGTCATCTGCAATCCATGGCCATCATGTGAGGGAGTATTTTATAAAATGAGATAGAAAATATTCATTCTGAAAGGGAATCGAAGGCCCACTGCACTGCACATTGAAGAAATAAGTAATGAATAGATTTAAGTTATACTCATCAATATCGTGCAATCAGGTACAGTATCACTGGTACATCAGTCCACTTAGAATTGGTTAATTGAAGACTCGAAATAGCCTATAGGAGTGATGTGCTGTAAATGTATATGGTTGTGTGAATGTTTGTGTGTGTGTGTGTGTGTGTGTGTGTGTGTGTTAACCTACTGCATAAGAGGAGCCTTTTATTTAAAACAAATTATTAATGAACACCGTGAGATTTCCAATACTTTTGATACTGTACCTTGTCCAGTGGCTGCAGCAAAAAGCAGCGGCCTGGTTGGAGACCACTGCACTTTAAAAACATAAGTGTCTGACACTCGTATTGAGCGCAGTGGGTTGGTCTGCAGCAGAGAATGGAGGTGAGCCAGACCATCAGTTCCTGCACTCAAAAACAGGTTCCTAAAGAAAACACATCGGTCACACATGAGTCATCGGTTATATTTAGATATTGATTTAGTCACTGATACGACCTTAAACCTGTACCTGTGAAAAGGTGAGCAGTGTATGGAGTGGACAGGGCCGCTGCCAGGCCGAAAAGAGAAGACGGCTGGGGCTCTCAGTGGCACGCTGAGACATTCAGACGGGACCGCTGCTGGTGTCTGTGAGGAGAGGGAGCATCTCAGTAGTAGGCCACCCTCGGAGCCTACTAAAAATGTGTCTGGGTCCCATGGAGACAGATCCAAGGAGGTGACACCCACAGGGCTGGTGCCTTGACCCTAAAAATAAATTACAATACCATACAACACACATGATGTCTGTTTATTTAACAGACCATTTAAAAAACAAGAACTGCTATTGACCCGTTAAGGACAAAATCGGACTGGGGGGGGCAGGGGGATGGGGGATGATATAAGAAATAAGAAGTACAGTGAAACTCCTCTACAACGAAACCTACATGGGCGAAAATACCCCCAGTGTGAAAAAATATTTATGCATTAGCACCATTCCCACTTTCCTGCCACCCATACAACGAAAAAAAAACCTGTTGCGTCATACGAAATATTTTTCTCTGCTCTTGCCTCACGACGAGATTCACTACAATGAAGTCTAATCCAACAGCGACCTCTACTGATTCGTTCAGAAACGGCAACAGCAACCACCACACTGGTTTACACATGCGCAGTAGTCCAGGAAGTATTTGTTATTGTTAGTTTCAGACGCAGCGAGAAAGTTGCATTGCTAAAATTTCTACAAAACGGACCTTTGGATGTCAAGCAGCTAAGACAAGAAGAGCTCTGACGCTGGGAGAGAGGGTAAAAGTGATCAAAATGAAAGACGGAGGAAACAAAATAAAAGACATTATCCAAGAAATTAATGTAAGTGAAAGTGAATGCTGATCGTAAATTACGCAATTTCTTTCCCTTTTTTTCTTTCTACACTGACTATATGAAGCGTCAAATAAGTGTATGCTCATACTTATGCACTATTGGAATAAAAATAAAGAGTACACATACGTTTGTGTGTGTGTGTGTGTGTGTGTGTGTGTGTGTGTGTGTGTGTGTGTGTTTATATTTGAGATCAAATTTGCTATACTGTAGTGAAAAACCCCCTGTTGTGAAAAATTTCTTGCTGCAAACATGATTTCGTTGTAGAGGAGTTTCACTATAAGTAGTATCTCGTTGTCAGGCAATGAACTTTTTGGTAGTTGCTTTGAAATAACTGTCAAAAGTGTTCATCTGCCTTGGAACAGTGAGCCTTACCTTGAAGCTGGTGCTCTTGGAAAGAACTTGCTGTTGCACGAGGGCAAAGGCCACTTTCAGGACACATTTTCCTTGCTCCGCGCTCACTGTCCATAGCAGAATCCTCCCTCCAGAGCATGCACTCAGAACACCAAAATCTCCTTTATTCTGCAGGGGCACCCAGGTAACCTATGGGAACGTGTACATACGAACACACAGCCATGTTATGATGTCCTTATCATTCTCCTATCCAGCAATAATAAAGTACCATAGTTGGACTAGTTTTACACACATTTTAATGAGATTGCGCCAATAAGAAATAAAAAAAACTCCAATGAAGCCCAAACGAATACATTACATCTAACTTTGCAACAAAGCTAATTTCAGGCACATCAAATTGTATGTTGTCCATTGATAGTGAGCAGCCATTCCATTCCCTTCCATTAACCATGTGACAGACCAGTCAGGGTGAATGATGCCTTGTGTACTCGGTGCAATAGTTTTGTTTGAGCCCTTTGTTCAATAGCCAAAAGTCATGACTCATGCAAAGTACTGTATGTATGCCACAGTTTCGAATAGAACCTTTTCGAGAGAAAACGATTCAACCAGTTGAACGTTCTTAAAAGTTACACAATAGTGGGATTGGAAAATTCTCGGAAAATAAAATGAAATAAATTGAACCCCTGCTGTATAGTAGATTTTTAAATGTTTTTTTTCAATGGATTTTTATAGTACTGGGTACAGGCAGGTCAAAATTAGGAGTTGTGCATCTCCAGTGGAGCACTGATGTCTGCTGGATGAAGATAGAGGGTAATTACGGGCAAGAAGATAAGGCAGACAAGTTCACCTACTAAGCAGCAGTAATATTTAAAACTTGTGGAGCAGAGAATGTATGCCTGCGAGTAATTTGTATGGACTTTTTTTGTATGTGTTGCTGCTCCGTGTGTGTCAATGTGGCAGTTGTTCAAAGATTTAGAATTACCTTTACTTCTATCTGGCATATCGCATTAATCTAGTGGACTTTCATTCAGCAAAATGATATGGTTTAGTTCAGCTGTTTGGTGTTGAACTATAGACCGTTAAATTGTCTTTTGCTTCATGTGTCAGTTTCATAGTAAACTGCAACAGATAGTAAAAAATAAACGCTTGATACAAGCACGTTGTACCTCTTAAAACTCATTCAGTACCAGCCAATTCTGGACCAAGTCTGACAAGACGTTTAAAAACGTCTTTGGGAGTGAATGAGTTAATTTGGAATTAACAGTGCAAACCTGAGAATCTTCTATTCGGATCTTCAAAGTGAAGCTGTACGATAGTCTCCCCATTTGTTGACAGCGTGAGACGGAGAACAGGTGCAAAGAAATGCTTTAAAAAGTGTGTTTCAATAACTTTAGGTGTACTTTAATAAGTTTAAATATGGGAAGGTTGAAACGACAGCATTCCAAAGGTTTTTATCTGATCTTTCTATATTGCGGCTTTTCACCCATGGCTGATGGGTCTGGCACATTGCCCCCCATGAAAACCGGGGCTTGACTTCACTGTAGTGTGTGCATGAATAAACTGGTAAAAATGGAACCTCATAGGAATTGATTATTGTAACGTTTAATGAAACGTACATGTTCCGCCACTTCCGCTTTCCACCACTTTATCACGCTACAAAAAGGTAACATCACAAGTCAGTTTGCAAGTCCTGTGGTCTCTCTCACCTGACAAACGGGCTCTCTGTGGCTATCTGCAGACATGCCAGTTTGGGCCACTACTGGATCTGTTGACTGACTGGTGTCCCAGATGATCACTTCCCCACTGTATAAACCACCTGCAGCCACATAAGTACAGACAATCGAATGACACGTCTGTCAAATCATGATAATGTAACATGTCGCAAAGAAGAACAGTCCGGGTCGTATACCTGTCATGAGAGCGGGGTGCTTGGGGTGACAACACAGAGCTGTCACTGGAGTCGGAACATCGATGACCAAATCAGCTTGTTTGGGGTTCAGACCTCCATGATCTATGTTCCATGTGCAAATATATGACTTATCATTGCTCCAATCGCCTTCTGCCATCCTGCCAATCACACAGGCAAATTGCCTTCCTCAGCGAGTGAATTAGACATGCTTGATAGAAGCTCACTCACTGCAGGAGAGCTTGTCCAAACAGGTTTGTGTTTCGCAGAACAGTAGGGGACGTCGAGCTTTGAGTGATTCCTAATAATATAATGGGAAGCAACATACCGGCCATAAGCACAGGCTATGACTGCACCAGTACAACTCCAGGACACGCTCGTGACATGAAGATCTTGCTCTAGGGCCCTGGGATGTTGAAGTTGGTGAAGGCACACAACCTATCAAAATGCCAGAAGCAAGCAATAAAGGCAAAGTCAAATATTGATGTGTTTTATATTTGATGATTCATCAGTTTATTGCTTACCATTTGATTGTGTTCTTCCCAGTTCACCTGAAAGCCATCAAAAGCATGACTCTTGGCATTTCTGACCAACTCACGGATAACCGGGGCCTCAATTTGACGTAGGAAGTCGTTCAAGCCGGGCAAATGGAGCATATTGTGGGGGTCTTGGAGGAACTGTGTCGTTACATGATCTTGGAGTTCTGTTTGAGTACTGCTGGCGACGCTGGAACGAGTCTGTACTCCTGTTTCAGTACTGTGAATGGCTCTGGTCTGGCAGCCTCTCTGAGACGTGTACATACACACGAGCACCCACACAAGCACACACAGGGAGAAAACGAAAGAAATGCTTTGTAGAAGTATGGAGAATGGCTAGATGGCTGGCTGGTAGACACATTCAACGAGTTTCCTTTTGTTTGTCCTTTAATGAGCGTTACGATGGTGTGACATCTGATGACTCTGGCCCGGATAGTTTTGTTTGATTTGAGTTAATAAAACACTGAAGATTTTGTTTCATTTATTTAGATGTCCAAGTGGAAGGCAAAAAGAAGTTGCTTAAACTGGCGAGGCAGAGGGATCACGCTAGGAAGGATTTGCAGCAGGTGAGGGTGAGTCAAGACAAATGGAATTTTGTCCTGGTGTTTGTACATCCACTTACGTTTCCGTTGGTTTGAAAATGATTGATACCAAACTTCTCTGTCTGCCCGAGTGACTCAACCCCTCACTTTCTGAAATTGAGTGTTCACACAAAGCATTTCATGCACATGCACTACTTTATTAAGCATTTTCTTTTCGAGCTTGTGAATGTGTCATCCTGCTACATTGCATCATGCACATATTAGCTATGTTCCGGTCTTTTGTTGACTAATAAGTCATGCTCTTCATGTGTCTCTAGTGCCTCTGTCTGCATTTCTATTAAGGTCATCTGAATTGGGTACGGTCTGACATTGTTGTCTGACGAAGGGCAGCAATTGCTCTTATGAGTGAGTGAAACTGAGCGTCACCCAGCGCGATCGTCTGAAGCATTTTGAAAATTCTTGTGCTTTTTTATTCAGTACCACTGTTTAACAAGCCACCGCGAGCAAAGGAAAGCTCCACGTGCCAGTCCACTTATGAAGAAAATGAGGAACAGCATAACATTCAACAAAGAATGCATAGGAAAGTACAGAAATTGGCAGGTTCCTTTTCTGAACAATATCCTCTTCACCTCACCCTCTTTACTGTCTTTCGTGCGTCACCAGGAGACTTCCATGTGATGTTTCATGCTTCCGAGGACATGATAAAATGGAGGGGCGACGACAGTGGTGAAAAGCAGCTTTTGAACTATGGGGATACGGCCAATCACTTACTGAACTACGACATTCACTGCTTATAAACTTTTTACCAATACAGGGTGCACAGAGATTATCTACATTGCCATAATGTCCATGTTACTTTCAACAAAAGGTAAAAGTGATGTTTAATCATGTTGCGATTTAAATTACTTCATATAATTTTCTGCATGTTAAACTACAATTATTCTCTATTTTTACAAATTAGAATGTATGAGTATCTCGAACAGATTAATAGGATTCAGATTATTTCCAATGGGACATATTGTTTTGGTTTTCCTTCGATTGCACACCAATAACACCAAATAACGGAGTTGTTTGGGTGAAATGTCGTCCTTACAAAGTATATTTCTTTGTTTTGATACACACTGTGTGTTGGCATCTCTCACTATGACGTCCGTGCCCATCCACTTTCAATGATAACTGGTGCTTGACTGTGCATACAAATCATGACTTCTTTATGTACTCAAATCCAACGGCGTTGCTTAAACGTACCGACTCCTGCGACGACTGCTGAGATTTTCTCCAGGATGACTGGATACTCACTGACACTTGTGCTTCGTCCGTAAACATATCAATAAATCTGATTGTAAAATGAAAAACAAACAAACAAAATCCTAGCCTTGACTACTACATAGACTCAACATCCGTCAACAAAAGTCGATTTCTTTTTCTAATAATATTGGAGGCCCACAAGCATAAATGAGCGCAGTACTGCCATCTTCTGGTATTTTATTTACCTCTCTCCACAATTTTACTTGAAATCATCCGATGAACAGTCTGGTATCTACACCCATATACTGTACAGGTATTGCAAAATTATTAATACAGGGTAACAAAAAAAAACAGAAGCGAGGGGGACTTTTAAACAAAAAAATTAAAAAAAGAGCATAAAGAAAGTTTTAATCGCTAGATTATTATTTCAATTTAAAATGATACGATGCTGTGACCTTTTGAATGTGCACATGCTAAATTAATGGCAGAAATATCATGTCATGTCATAAATTTGTAAATGTTGCTGATGTCAGAGCCTCACTCATGTCCCGGATATATCACTGGTAAACTCATCAGACAATAAATATTTAGTGCTCATATTTGGGAAACAGAAACCATCTACTTTCGACTTTTAATCTGATGATTACAAATGTTTTCAACCTAAATGTTTAGATTCGATAAGCACCAAGTCTATTGTTTTCCCAAGTGTTACAGGTACCTTTGCACAAAGTATGACACACGGTCACTTTGACAATAAATATTTAAGTATTGATATAAAATCTGTACTCATCTCGATGACAAGTGGGTTTTCTACCATTTAGATTTAAAGTATTGAATTCTGATAAACGTTTTGATGTTCACTGATTTACTTGTATGTCCATTTGACTAGTAACTATCAATGGAGACAGACATGCAGAAAAAAGGCCTTCTCTTTTGACAATTTCCCCCCTTCATCTTTGTTAAACAAATTGGATGATTTCAGTTAACTAAGCAGAAAACAACTAACCCACAGTACTGATGGAATATGAGTGGGGCATCATATAAACAACATCAGGAGATTCTGTTTGCAAAATGTTGTTACAATTATGGCCTAATATAATCAGAAGCGAGTTTTAGTTCGATCTAAAATTTGGCTTTGACTGTAAAACGGTTGGTACATCAAGCATCAACGGAATGAAAGTATCTTCCTCCATTGTTACACGAAGTGGAGTCCACTTTGCCACATTCAAAATGGCGATGGCGTCGAATTTGGATTACACGGTCAATGCGGTGTGTACAAATACATCTATGATTCTTAGCTGCCTCTTCAGGGTCTTTTTTAAACTAACGTCGCAGACTAAGACGTAACAGACAACATACCCGTACCTCGAATAATTTGTTGTTTTTAATACATTTACATTAAAGATATTTTGAACAACAGTCCATTAACATGCATTTGTTGTTGGCTTCATGTTCACGTTTAAAAAAAATGTAAAACATTAACTGCCTGGCTGGGCGTCATCAGGCATATGCAAAGACCTTTTCCCGCTTGCTTGCCGCTGCAGACGGAACAGTTGTGCGTGTTGTTTATATCGATTCCAATCGTTGTCAAGCGCTTTTTACTCACAATTGGACCGCCGTTAACGAATTTATAGTTGCCCGGAGCCCAGCTGTTGTAATGGCTTTTCGTCCGGAGAAGGTCTCCGAGCTGAAGCAAATTATACACAACCATCTGATGAAGGTGAAGACCATAACTACTCGTTATGGACACTTGAAATGACAAGCGCTGTGCGTCTGCGCAATTTAGCTTTAACTCACACAAAAACTGTGTAGAAGTTTCAAAACCGCGTCTTCAAAAGCAAATAATTAAGAGCCCTCTATTTAATATTTTACCAAATGGGTTGCGTCAAGTGATTGTGCAAAGTCTACTACACTATTTAGAGTTAAAGTAATGTCAGACACTTTTCGGCTAGTCCCATCAGCATCTACTCGGATGGGTATCGTTCCGAAATTATAATGAATCCCAAACAAGAAAAACAACGAAACATGCGCATTCTTTTTGAAACTGAGAGATACTTCTGGCTGCTGATGAGTGTGAAGTGCTACCTGTTTGAAACATACTTCTGAAATTTGCTCAAATTAGTTTTAGTCACATGTTATTATTATATGTTATTCTTAACAATTATATTATTTTTTTGTGAGCACAATGATCATGCTAATGGTTTGTCCTAATAATTAGGAGATAAATATCAGTATGTCACACTTTATTTTTACAAATCTCTGCCAGTGCTAAAATGATGACTTTGACAGGTGATGAGTAATTGTTAGAAGGCGCTTGAGGGCTACTTATGTGGTCTTTGGGGACTGCCTGGTGGCTTCAGGCACCACATTGGTGACCCCTGCGCTAGACACACTGTAATAAATTACTGCATGCGATGTGTAATCTGCCCCACATAGTTTTGGATATTAGTCATGTTCAATAATTTCACAATTGTATTTTTGTAGAAGTCCATATTTACGGTGACAGTGGTTTGTGAATTTTACTGTTGAAGCGAATATGCAACATGACCTTTTTACTTTTCTGTTAGATGGATATTCACGGGAAGATCCGAGAGGTGTTGTCTGAGACTTTGAGGGATGAACAAGGTACAGCTCATCAAATGTTATCTGAGGCAGACTTCCTCCATGCATTGCAGCGCAGAGGCATCATCGACGACGTGATGAAGGACCTACACTTTCCGCAGGTGGCTCCACATTATTTCTGTAATATCTGTTTTGTCTTTTTATTCTATGAATTTACTGTTGAGAGACGGTGTCATTACACTTAAATGTCTACATTTTCATTTTATTTTCTCACATTTTGCTTCGCTAGGTAGCGCCTACACATATGGAAACCGGATCGCCTCCAAAATCCATCCCTCACTTGACAAACGAAGAAAACATTCGGCCGACAAAAAGTACAAAATATTAGCAAATAAGTGAAAATTGGTGACATAGCTGATTACGTATTAAACACTGAAGCTATTTTTTTGACATTGTAGCCAATATCGACCCATCCAGACGTCACCTGTATTTGCAAGTGCTTGGTGGTAAGGCCTTCTTGGAGCATCTGCAGGAGCCAGAACCTTTACCTGGTCAGGTGTGCTCCACGTTCAAGTTATTCCTGCACTTCCGAAATCAGAGGTTTCACTCAAAGCCAGTGCCCTGTGCCTGTGACCCTGACCTGCAGGAGGGCTTCCTCTTCCAAATCCACATAGATGGCACAGGTAGATAGAAATGCAAATGATGACTGCAACCGTGCCGTTATTACACGTTGGGGTCCACCATGTTCTAGATAGGACTTCAGATCCTCCAATGATTGCTGTAAGAGTGACAACATTTCTTTTGGTTCTGCAGGAGAAGGAGGCAAGATGGCAGATGCGACCAATATGTTGTCCATATGTGATCCAGTTCACTTAGTGCTGATCAAGACTGACACCGCCGGTGAGACAGCTCTGGTCTCATCCTACTTCCTGGACTGGAGGACAGTCCTTAGTTCACCTAGTGGGAAGACATGCTTGGCTGTGGAACTGATGGGAGTGGGTGAGGGAACAATTGGTCTTATGTTTTGTTTTTTTTTTTTTCTTTTAAAAGTATTTTCAAGCATCAGGCTAATATTCACAGGACATTGAATCGATTACGACTGGACTGTTTGGGTTGTCTTAGAAGATTTTTATCTCTCACCTGAGCATGCTTCATATAGTACAAGGCTAGTTAGGAGAGCGCTAGCCTCGGTGTTGGTGGGAAACCCAACTAATTATCCTCCTGAGTTACAGGCACATGCAACAGAAATATGCGGTATGTTCTTTTTAGTGTTTAACTAGTGCCAGGGATGAGGGTTTTTTTTTTCACGTTTTTTAAAAATCCCATCATTGAATCCCAGGTGTGTCTTTTATGTATTTTTAAATATTTTTTCACGTGGAAGGGTAAAGAAGGGTCTGAAAATGGCTTGCATTTAATCTAAGTAAACCTGACAGTTTAGTCATGAATCCATCATTTTTTATTTTCAAATTAGACTTTGCTTTTTTTTTTCTAGAATATTTGGAAACAAATTTTGTCAGCTTCGCATTGTAATCAACCCTCAGTACGATGTCGTACATTTCATTGCCACTGCAAACTATAACCACTGTAAAAATATATCTTTTGGCCTTATGTAAATTGCCGAAGTTGTGTTGTGTCACCAGGAAGTGAAAGCAAGTTGCCGGCTGGTGTTTTGACAATCAGTCTTGAGCTCTACCCTCCTCTCACAGACACACTGAGTGCTGACATCATCAGCACACAGGTAAATTGCCCCGACACTGATTTCAATTCTGCATTTTTCCTATTCAGGTGTTCATGTGTTTAATGATCTCTCAATACAGATATCGTTACTGTAAGTCTGTGTGAGCAAATCGATGATATCTTATGTTTGTTATTCAGCAATCACTAGAAAGGCAGAGGACAGCGGAAAAGGAGAGAATCTTCCTGGTTTATGCCAAACAGTGGTGGAGGGAGTTTCTTGAGATCCGGACATCAAACCAGTCCAAAATGGTCAAAATCTTTGCACAGGTTTGATCATGTTTACACTTGAAGAATTTTAAAAACATTTGGTAACATTTGCAGGGAGATTGTGTCACTGCTTGGCTGGGATTCTGTGTAATCTGCAGGATGAAAATGGCATCAACAGACCGGTGTGCTCCTATGTGCATATCCTCCGGGCCGGCCGGCTGCTCGAGAGTCCTCGGCGGGCGGCCCGCTTTGTTAGCCTCCTGGCACATGAGAAGGCCCCAATGGTGGGAGGAGGAGAGAAGCATGAGCAGTGGTGCACATTATTGGCTTTCCTGTGTCGAGGAAAGGTAATGTTGACGTTTATTGTTTCAGTAAAAATGAAATCAAGCGATCAACCGCGACCCTCGTGAGGATAAAGCGGTTCAGATCATGGATGGATGGAACATTTCTTTTATTTGTACAATCTGTTGATATTTAACGCCAAATCCTTTAAAAACCTATTTGCAAAGATACGTCTTTGCTAGGAAGTGTACAGCAAGTGACTGATTGACACTGACAAGATGGAATTGATTTTAAACGGTTTCATATTGGTGTACAACTGCACTGCATACAGTTCTGTCCAAAAAAAAAAAAGCTTATCATATATAATTAATCTATTCCCTCTCATGGAACAAATAATTGCCAAATACTAGACGCCAGTGCATAAAATAATGAAGTATTGCTCAAGAGTACCGAATTATGTCACACACCAGGAATAAAATGATAAAATCTTTTTTTTTTTTTTTCTTTATTTCATCAACGATTGTAGTCTCGTAAATTGTATTGATGATAGCATTTCCGAGAGGAAGATTTTGTGCAGTTATCCATTTTCTTGCGGCTTTTCCCCGAGACCACCACAGGATAAATGTTTCCCGCTGCTCTGCTGTTTGGGCCTGGCAAGACAGACACAACACAGCTCTCACAAAGTGGCGCTTGTCAGCTATGATTTATGACTTTCATTCCAAGCAAAATTAATTTAGCCTCATCTCTCCCCAAACTGTTCGGATGTTGCCGTCCATATTAGCACTACTGGGGAACATCTATCATTCTGAGTTGTCGTGCGCACCAGCCGGCATACTGCAGTAGCAGTCAGCTCTCGTCACACCTCTTTGCAGGAAAAAAACACGTTCCAGGATAAATACAATTGCTTGCTGGCACTGCCACCGGGCATATTGAACACACTGAAATGCAGCAGGCGGACATTTAACGCTTCAATTGTGAAAATCAAACAACAAATTGATACAGTGAAACCCCCACATATCCATGGCGCAGCAGTTGTGAATTCGCCTCTTCATGGAATTTCTGTGGAACCAAAACCGTTGTCATGCGCTGAATAACTCACTGACTGTTGAAGTGTGTATTCTGCCCATATTTAGTCATGCTGTATAGCTTTCCCATGCCCGCAGCGTAACTTGGCGTCCTTGAAGCAATCATCACATAAAATTGGAACACTCCCGACTGGAGCCCTTGTAGAGAAGCACAGACATAGGAATGCACCAGTTGATACAAGCTAAGAAACGGTTTACGAGAAACGAAAGTTCTGATGTCACACCTTGTGTTTCGGTACCGCCCTTTTGATGATATAAATATATGGTGAATCCCTTCCTTCTTTGCACTTGTAACCAACGCAGCCGTTATCTGTAAACCGCGGGTATAATATTCTGCAAATAAACCCTTCGAAGGATATTGTTCATCGACTGCAGCCTGTATTTGGATAACCAACATCCTCCTCGTCCAAAATTCAACGAACACGCGGGGGAAAGAAGGCCACTTTGCCCCCAACACTGCATTGAGTGTTTTTTGGTGCCATCTTGTAGCACCTTGGTGCTATAGAACTATATTGAAATTAATTGAGGAGTGTCCTTTTAACCACAGGATTCATCGCATTTTTCTCCATCGACTATTTTCGATGAAAACGTACTGCATTTACTTGAGTAAAATCTTGGAATAAATGTAAAATCACAAAAGAGAAAGTATATTTCAATTCAAAAACTCTTCCAATAACTTTGTTTGAGCCTTGATTACAATCCTCCTGTAAAACAAAACTAAACAAAACGATCAAAACTGACTCCGTTTTACAGGTACTGTATATCTTACAGTCTCATCGAAAAAAAAAAAGATCAAAACGTCTTTCTTACAGGTTTAGTCTTGCCCACAAGCAACACACTCTAGCAGGGTTGATTGGTGATGACCTGTGGAGGCCTTATTATTATTATTTTTCATTAATCTCCAAAATTAATTCCTTAATTTTGACAGCCCAAAGACAATCCTTTGTTAGGACCTTAATGGCGGAATCATCCTCAGATTGATGTCAAAAGACTACGAGAATGGAAAGAATGCATTTTCAACTCATCTGTGTCACCCACAGGGGGACTGCGAGGACCACTCTACCCTGTTGTGCAGCCTCCTGCTGGGCTTTGGCCTTGACGCTTATGTGTGTGTGGGCACCAAAGCTAAGGGGATACCCCACACCTGGGTCCTGACCCGAGGTACTGATGGAAGTATCACTTTCTGGGAGAGCCTGACTGCACACAGGTTGGTTTCTACTCAGAATAAAAAGAATAAGAAAACCTTTATTCGTCTCACAATGGAGAAATTCCCAATTTACAGCAGCAAAGTTATGAAAGGAAGAAAGTAGAAGAACAAAAAGTATTGGAGCTGCTGTAAAGGCAGCCACTCTCGCGGCGCCATCTTGAAGTCATAATAACATAATAACAAATAATACAACACGACACATAAGACACAGACAGTCATTCAATCTTAACCCCTTTTCTGCATACTCTTTGTTGTTTGAAGCAGTTATAGATGAAAGAGGGGAGGATTAAAGTGCAGATATTAATGCAATAACTCTGCATAATAGTCCTGCTTCCAAGGCCTCTCCACTATGCGTCATAAATGTCATTTTGTGTTTCTAGTTTTATCTTTCTCAGGGCATTGAATCGATTGCAACTGGAACACTCTGTTCTGGGATTCTCGGATGAGAGGCAAAACGTCTTCGAAGATGAACAGAGCAGCCCAGTTTCGATCGATTCGGTGCCCTGAGAAAGAAGTGACCCGGATGAATGAAAATATCCACAAGCGCGTGTTTATCGTGATTTTTTTTTTTTGAAAGTTGCACCATCTTCTGTGTTTACTTGTGTCAATCAGTCTGTTCGTATGTTTTCAACAAAACTGAGCATGTTTCTTGTTACAAATGTCTGTCTGGCCAGATACCTTCATCAAGCCATAGACCCCGATGCCCCACCTTTGGCCCCCCAGCCTAAACCCTCATACCCCTACCGCACTGTGGGTTGCGTCTTCAACCACCAGAGCTTTCTGGCCAACTGTCAGCCCTCTGACGCTGTGGAGCTTTGTGTCTTTGACCTCCAGGTAAAGCAGTAGGTGTTTCTTGAAAATCCTTTTTTTTTTTTTTTTTTTTTTTTTTTTTTTTTTGACGGGGGCATGTATTGTGAATATCAAGTTATCCTTGGAGGTAGCAAAATGGCTTTTAATTTGGCATTTCGAGTTTCACTTGCAAGAAATGCATCATTTCCCTCCTTCCAGAATCAATCACGGTGGAAAGCAATGAGTGAAGAGGCTCTGAAGTCAGTGTGTGACTCTTGCTCGACCACCTCGCTGCCCCCTCTTCCTCCACTCAGCTCATCATCTCTCGATGCCGCTGCTGTCAGCAATCAGCTGGAGCTGGAGATGAGGTACTTGATCTCCGAGCACAGGAAGGTACGACTCAGTGCTACGGTGGACCAATAGATTCCACTTTGCATGTAGAAGTTTCAACTCATTTTTACAGCTCGGTTCTCCACACGATGTTGCAAATTAAAACTCCCCAAAAGCCACACATCCCATGTTGGAGATTTGTTCTCACATATCAAATGTTACTTACACATTGAAGTTATTATTACCCAATCTCAGATGAGCCGATGTTGTGCCTAGTGTGGTTATGCATCATCTTTCTCCTCCAGGACTTGAACCTGACAACGGTCTGGGACGACCACATGTCCTACCTGCTGTCCTCGGCCTTGTCAGCCTATGAGATGGAGCGCTGCACTGGGGTCTCATGTGGAAATGAGGAATTTCAGGATGCAATCAGGAGGGCTGTCCCAGACGGGCACACCTTTAAAGGCTTCCCCATCCACTTCCTGCACCGCAATGCCCGAAGAGCTTTTTCCACATGCCTCAAGTAAGCTTGGAACTTTGTTTAATATATACCAACTCAAATTTAAGAGCAGTTATGCAGCAGTTATGGTTAATTTCCCTACAATGATGCATCACATGAAAAAAACTGTGCCTTAGCTCAATAAAAGTTGGAAAACACTCTTAATTTTGAATACATAATCGTTCACTAAAAGTAGATGCTTATTTAAAATAAAAGACACTTTGGATTGACACTGTTAGAGAGTCGTCTGCTTCTTTTGTAAAGACCCTCGATTGTGATCATATATACTGTAGTTTGTGTTAGTTGTACCTATTGTGACAAGGACTTTGCTGTCAATGTTATTTTATGTAGTTATTCACAGTCAGTTCTTTGTCTTGTGTTGTTGTTGTGCAGGTCGCGGTTCTGCGAGGAGATAGTGTGTTGTCGCGGTGACCACGTGAGGCTCGCCCTTCGCGTTCGGGTCTTTATTTATCCAGAGAATGTTTGTGCTGTTTGGTTCATGTTTGCTTGTAAGTATCGCTCTGTGCTCTGACAGCCTCAGGTTGATGTCTGCTATGATGTCAAAATTATGAATTTACAGCACCGTGTATTGCACATTGAGACTTTATTTGGCATTTTATTCTATACAATATGATGATCGAGAAAGTCACAGGTACATTTGGGACCCTTTGATACAGATACTCTTTCTTTCATCATCCAGACAGGTTTTTGTCAGACTTGCTCTGCTTTTCATGCTTTTTCGTTTTCAGCTGTATTTATAAACTTTTGTTGTAAATAAAGCTTCATACATTTTATGAAACGTTTGTAAGACAGCTGTTACTTACCCCTATACATACAGGTGTTATTATACTTTATATTTATGAAAGAAATTTACACATTGTATACATGTATTTAAAAACATACAGGGGCTGTATGTCCTGTGAGTGTTAGTGTTCAGTGTGAGATGTAAAAAAAAAAAAAAAAAAAAAAATCAAAAATCAGTGATGTATTCAATCATCTACGATATATAAGAATACAGCAACATTGTCACAGCAGTGCAACAATTTGTATTCTGGTGAATTGTTCGATTTTAAAATGAAGAGCAGACAGTTAATTGATGAGCAGTCTTTAATTTCACGAAGAAAATGATGCGCATCATATGCAACGATCTTTCAACAGACTTTCGTAACCCCTTCAAATTCACAGATACCATTGTGTAGTGTAAAACCTGAACATTTGTAATACCTGATTCCTGCACTAGATGGCGCTTTAGGCTAAAGTTGATAATGATATAAAAAAATCAGCGATGTAGACACAGTATACATGATGCTCGTTGTGCTTTTAGTCAGACTGCGTTGACACACGCTCAGAGAACGACAGCCACCACGACATCGACCAATGGCTAATTGACTGGCCGTCTGTCATGGAGACCTATGCCTCTCCCTGTCCAATATTAAAATCTTTTAATGGTCTCTTTTTTTGGAAAGTATTTACGACTAACCTATGTCTGTTAGGCAGACCACACCTAAAAAAAGCGCGCGAGCGCACACACACACACACACACACACACACACACACACACACACACACACACACACACACACACACACACACACACACACACACCTTAAAATATTTGCAACATTACAAAGTTGTTGATTTAAACAGTCTTTGGAATTATTCATATTACAGACAGGCTATCATCAATGAACTTGGCATCTTCACTTGAATATCAAATACTTTCAAAATGGGAAAGCATTGACAGCTTTGTGGTTAAGTATTGTGTGATTGTCAGTGTGGCTTTCAATTAAATACTTTTTATAAAAATGTATGGTTTGGTTTTTTTTTTTCCATCTTATATTGCACGGCGCAGTTTTATGTGCAAGGGGAGTTACTGACAACACAGGTCAAATTTTAATAAACATGTCTGTCAGGGTGGCCAATTAATTTTCAATTTCACTTTCTAATTTGCATTTCTGCCTGTGCCCCTGAGTTGTTGAACACAAGGATCAGTTGGGAGGCTGGAAGAAAGAAAAAAAGAGAGCTAATGAATAATTTGACTTGTCCTGAATTAGTCACAAACACACCTAAGCTCCACAGGAAGGATATATACCTCCGGAATTGTTTGATGCAGGAAACGTAGGTTCATTTTCAGCTCATATAAATCAGCAGTGCTGAGGTGTAATTGACTAATGGGGCCTGTGGGATAGCAGCTAAAACGGGAAGTAGGCGGTATGGCGGTTCCTCTCATAACCATCACTCACACCTTACATCCACAACAGTTCTGTTGGCATGCAGCACTTGCATTCCTGTGAGACATCTTTGTGGAAGCACCACCTTTTCATACCGATGCACGTTGGTGCTGACTATAAAATGGATACACGGCTTATGCCAGAGGCCCTTGTCGAAAGTTTAAATAGGTCAAATTCCCCAGGCCTACTACCAGAACATCATAATGGGTTGCCCGCGTCGTCATTTAATTCCCCATATTTTGTCGTCACCAACTTAATGTCAAATAAAAGATATAGTTCTTACCGTGTGCATTGTGAGTTGATGCATTCTTTTTTTTTTGAATACAGTTCTACACTATATGAGAATCTTGAATCTCCACTTGATTTCCATCTTGTTAACAATGATCTTGTTTTCACCTGCACACTTTGTTTCAAAGTAGTCACACGTCAAAAAACATTTATGAGAAAGTTCGCCTCAAAATAACCATCCACCCTTCTGGTCACGGGTGAACTGAATCTGTAAAAAAAAGTTTATTTTATTGTGGCAACGATTTTCAAACATAATTTGAATATAACTAAATAAAGTGACAATGGCAAGTGAAACCGCATGAAATTACCCTGAGTTTTCATGCTGGCCGTTGTCCTGTCTCACTGTTAAAATTGTTCATTTTAGCACGGTACTATACATCATGGCCAGTGGTTAGCGCGTTGACCTCACAGTGCAGAGGTACCGAGTTCGATTCCAGCTCCGGCCTTCCTGTGGGAGTTTGCATGTTCTACCTGTGCCTGCGTGGGTTTTCTCCGGGTACTCCAGTTTCCTCCCACATTCCAAAAACATGCATGGCAGGCTGAATGACCACTCTGAATTGTCCCAAGGTGTGAGTGTGAGCATGGATGGTTGTTTGTCTCTGTGTGCCCTGCGACTGGCTGGCAACCGGTTCAGGGTGTCCCCCGCCTATTGCCTGGAGACAGCTGGGATAGACTCCAGTACACCCCGCGAAGGTGAGGATAAAGCAGATCTGAAAACGCCTGTCTGTGTCCTATGTGTTGTGTTGTGTTATTTTTGTTATTTTGACTTCAAGATGGCGCCGCGTGAGTGGCTGCCTTTCCAGCAGCTCCTATATTTTGTTGTTCTACTTCTTCCATTCATAACTTTGCTGCTGTGAATTGGGAATTTCTCCATTGCGAGACTAATAAAGGTTCTCTTATCTTATCTTATCTTATCTTAAAATGGACGGATGAACTATACATCATGGATTCCCAACCAGCGGTCCACAGACCGGTACCGGGCCTCGGCCCATGTGGGACCGGGCCGCGCAGAGACACCTACACAGTCATGGGTAGAACATGCAAACTCCACACTGGAAGGTCGTGGCCCAGAATCAAACCCATGACCTCGACACAGTTGTAGTAATAGGACATGCTAACTCGTCGACCACCATGTCATCCACGCCTTGTTTTATTTTATTAAAATGTGTCAAATGCAAGCGGCACAGTGGCCAACTGGTTAACACGTCGGCTTGACAGTGCAGAGATGCAGGGTTCGATTCCAGCTATGGCCTTCCTGTGTGGAGTTTACATGTTCTCCCCGTGCCTGTGCTCCGTTTCCTCCCACATTCCAAAAACATGCGTGGCAGGTTCAGGGACCACTCTAAATTGTCCCTAGGGGTGATTGTGAGCACGGATGGCTGTTCATCTATATCTGCCCTGTGATTGGCTGGCAACCAGTTCAGGGTGTACCCAGCCCACTACCCGAAAACAGCTGGGATAGGCTACAGCACGCCCACGACCCTAAAACGGATTAGAAAATGGATGGATGGGTATCAAATGCTGAATTTGTCTCAGCTGCAAATTTATTGACTGCATAAACTATGTGTCTATATTACCATTTTTTCTTTAAGAGCATCTGAATGAGCATTCTGTTGTGACATGGTGACAATACATTCTGAATTTTACCTCCAGAGAGAGTGAATATGGGGCGATTAAAATTAATCATCTCATCACCTTTTTCTTGAGAAACACCCCCAGAAGCCAGAACTCATTTTCAAAGTCATAATTATGCTGCACCTGTAACTCCATATCAGGTCAAGTTTTATATTTCTTCCTGTCTTCCTACCACCTGCTAGGTCTTTGCATTGCTTTCTATTCTCTGTCTATTTTTGTAATGTAAAAATTCCTGCAGGGGGTAAAGGAAGGAGCGGGTGACAGACTAAGGGAGGAGCAGTGGGCACTGGAAAGAAAGGCATTGCATGGCCCGGAGCCTAACTAGTAATAAAGTCATTAATTCAGCTGATTAAGTTGGCCTTTGGGTTAAGGAAAAATCATATCCATCTCCCTTTGAGATGTGACTGGGGAAGCACAGGAGAAGGAGAAGCCAGCTAATTAGTGCTGAAAAACAGGGGGGGGATTGGCAGAGAGGGAGATGAGAGATGGGAGAGAGGGATAAATGGAATGAGAAAGACCCTGTATGTGTGCAATGGAGGGAGGGAGGTGGGGTGCAGGTAGGTGTTTGGAATGAACTACTAATGAGGCATGTTTGGGGTGAGGGAGTGACGAGCTCATCAAAACACTCGCCTTCCAGGCGTAGCATCGCCCTCAAAGAATGAGCCTGCTTACCTTTGAGCCTGACGCTGCCACTTAATGATGTGAAACAAGAGCAAGAGGGAAAAGTCAGGTTGAAATGTCAGTTTGCATGCAATCTAATGAGCTTATTGTTGGATGCAAGAGAAGAAAGGGAGACTGCAAAAAGCCGATGTAGTCTGAATACAAATCACTCCGTGCCCCTCTGAGACTGATCAGTTGGATTTTTTTTTTTTTTCAAAAGTGGGCTGACTGTGAAAATTTAAACTTCGAATAACATTGACTTCAAGCCATAAAATGAAATAGTGCAGGGATGGGCAACTGGCGGCCCATCCAAAACTACACTCTTCAGTGGCCCCTTCATGAATTTACAAAAACAAAAGAAGACAAAACAAAATTATGTTGTGTGTATCTGGGCAAAATTGGGAAACATCCAAAATATTAGAAGGAAATGTAAAAAAAAAAGAGGGAGAAAAATCTGTGAATTTGTGCATCTCTGGGTGCCGAACTGTGAATATCCGGGGGGCAACTGTTGTTATAAGTTGTAATATCACCAATAACCACCAGATGATAGACATTTCTTTGTTGCGCTTACACTGAGTTTTATACTGCCCTTTACTACGCTAGTCAGCCTAATATGTTTTTGCGGATTTGCATAGTTATGCAGAACAAACAATCAATAATATTGAGTGAAAAAAAAATCAACAAAATGAGTTCTTGCACTCACTATATTTTGAACAGTTTTTGTTCAGCAGTTTTGTGCTATCCTTGAATGCTAATTTTTAAAAAAGAGATCTCTTTGCACTGGAAAAAAATACAGTATGTGGTTATTTTGTTGTTTGCTTCAAAGCGCCTGTGTGCTCCCCCCATTAGCACAGATTTAAAAAAATTGTGCCCCCCCCCCACCCCCACGTTTAAATTGCCCATCCTGGGTATTGTCCATGCTACTAGACACAATGAAACAATTGCAAGCCTCCATTTGTGCACTGTTGCACACACACAAATACATATTGCACCAAAGGATTTTTTCTTTCTCTCTCATTTGCATCATTTGATGCAGTTCTGCAAATCATTG